AAAACTCAATGTTACGACAAAAATAAACAGTAAATTTTTGCAAAGGAAAATCACTTGGCTTGAATTTAATTCTTAATTAAATTATTCAAAATATATAAAAATTTAATTGTTTGTGATATTGATCATCTAACTAAGGATGTTTAATAATATACATAGATGACGCAGATCCATACTGCGCGGCGCTTAGAAAGTGTTCAGCTTTACATTATGTGACACATATATGTGAATGTGACAGATAATATAGAACTTATGATAGGGAAAACATAGCAGTCTATAGAATTACAATCTAATTACAACAATCTGTGTAATTTAGGGGCCTCAATTACGGTGCGCTAGTGTCATTCTACCTCGTATTTGTATATAACAACAATGCAAATAACCTTCTTTAAAAGCATGGATGTATTATGTCCGTGCCTTCAAAGTGAGCATTGGAAGAAGCCGTCATATTTGTGGCCGGTAGAATGATAAAGAATAATAAACAACTATCATAAAATATAAAATTTATAAAAAAAGGAATATCATCGCTAGGCGAGTAAAATGTAATAAAAGAAACGGAGTATTTATTTATACAGAATAATGTTCCAATAAAAGAGGAGACGTTGCATCGTCTTACAAGCAAGGACTCGGTTTGATTTTAAATAAATCAATCGGTAAAGTATGCCAGTGACACGCATCGAAACAAAGGCGTTGCTGAAAATGGACTCTGGAATGACAACGAGTAAATAAATTGAGAAAACAAATCGTAAAGTAAAAGAAAAACATATGAAGTCCGTTTTAAAGTTCATTCGTTGTTCTTTATTTACGTAACATGGTATATTTACAATGCGATATGCGATATTTTTTATTTTATTATCGACAAACAAAAACAATTCCAATTAATTAAAGTATTTTTATATGATAGGAATGCGTTAATATATTAGAATATTGCTTAAAGAATGTCCCTAAAACTCTGGATGTTTTTTTTATTTAAATCAGATGATATGAATTTTGCGTTAATTAATTTTCGCATATCTATCTTCTTTTATAACAATGAAAAATAACTATAACTTTGTTTAATAAAAAAAGTTAAATAAATTAAATAGATACTAAACATAATATATATACCTACCAATATATCTACTAAATGCGGTTACACAGTACGCTCCTACAGTTTCAGTATCTTTATATCTTCCCGTATTTTTCGTGTTCAAATATTATGGTGAAAACTAAAGGCCCATTTACACGGTGCCAGTTTCTTGCCTGTTGTATACAATTAAATTGAAGCAATAAATGAGTTGCATGGTCTAAACAACAAATGGTCTTAATAATTATTGCGCGCAATTTATTGCATTCAATTATTGCTCTTGTATGTACAAGAAAATGGCATCGTGTAAATGGGCCTTAAAGCAATTGGAGTCGACACACATTAAAGATTGCAATGCAGCACAATTAAAATTACTTTATAAACTAAACTGGTTTTCAATTATGTTCCGTTTACCTACACACGGACTCATAATTATCTATAAACTTTTTATACCAACATTTTTCGCAAAAAAAATAAATTTGGTGTGTCATTGAACGGATTACACTGAGGTGTCGCCCCTTTATAATTCATAATTTTCAATCTTTCAGCCTCCTTCTAGGTGGACCGACGACATCGTACGACTAACACCCAGTTTCCGATAGCGCAATCAATTTTAATTTACGATAAATCTCTTGTCAATCGTTGTTTAACATGATCTGAGTTGCTAGAACGTCTTAAACAACATTGATTTTGATTTGCAATTAGTCACTGATTAACGGACAATCAACAGAAAATCGAGTTTCTGAAAGCGTTTTTCGGTGGTCAACGAGCTGTCAAAAGTTTTATTAAGTAATCTATCAATTTGGACGATCAATCGTTGGTTAAAAATATTATTTATCAAAAATCTTAGTTTTTATTAAAAATAAACATAATTCCCTAATACGTTGTTAGGACATTCATGTGTTCTATTACCTATTTATTATTTATTATTATGCGAACATATCATGTGATTAGAAAAAATACAAAATGCAATTCAAAAGTTAATAAATAATATGGATTCTTTCTTTTTATAATACTTACTTGTTTATTATGGATAAAAGTTCATTTTTTTCACGTTCTGTAAAGTTTTTTTTTGACATTTTGCATGTATTTATATAAATTAAATTTTATTATAGCTCGAATTTTACGTTGGCAATCACACGGTGACAGGACTGGATAGTGACGTTAATTTAAGTTTTGTTTAAAAAGGGACAGCTATACAATAGAAAGAGTTAGTTGTAGTGAATCATTCATTTCATTCATTATCATTGGTTATACAGTGATTAGCTAATTTTTCTTGAACAAACCTTCCAGAAACCCAAGGCAGTTTAAACAGAGATTAACAGCTGATCATTTTTGACATAGTGTTATGTGATTGCTGCTTTGATTGGTCTTTCGGAAACTGGGCATAAGAGTCGCGGGTCGCGGGCAACCGGTGCACGCAAATGGCAGTGTGGCTCGTTATGGCGTTCTGAGCGGGAAGCCTATCTTCAACGGTGATGATGAATCTTTAAGCAACAGGGGTCGAGGAGATGCAGCGGAGCAGACAGCTTCATCGGGTTTTCGTCACAAAGGCTAGCAAAAATCAACAATTGCGCAAAGAAAAAAGAAACTGACAGAAGTCAGTTCCTTTTTTCTGTGTATCTATAATACATTTTTTTACCTTTTAATTTTTATGGGGTTATAACTACAAAGATCGCCAGATCCATCGAAGCTTAATGTATCTTTAATTTATAAATAATGAAATTGAAATGTTTGTCTGTGACTCGATATTTTACTTTTCCTTAGCTCCTATTATTATTTGCATATTACGCCATAAAATAATATAAATATTATTTGGCTTAAATAAAATCCCGTTATTGTAAATCTTGTATTGAATTCTCAAAATGTTAACGTAGGTACGTTAACATTTTGAGAATTTTGAACTGAACTAACATTTTTGTTTAATTTCATGAAGAGAAAGTCTCGGGTTGCATCGCAGCTAGACCTTCATAAGAAACTACATTATATCGTGTTAGCGATTTTAAACCCCTAAAAGCAGTTGTTCTATTTTTCCGAAAGAAAGAACAGTGACGAAAATATTTTTTTTTATTCCATAGAAACTAGGTTTTACATTATGTTACGACAAAAATAAACAATACATTTTTGCAACACAAAATAACTAGGCGTAAAAGTATTACATTTTTTAATATCAGTTAAAGAAAATATTATTTTATAATACGACTAAATTCTTCAATCTCTGCATCCATTATTATTTAATCAAAGATGTTCATATCATAGGATTGTCCAGGCAAAGAGTACATTATTTAATTCGGAGAATAGAGTTATCAGTGACCTCGTGAGACAGCGCCATCTTTTGATCTACAATTTCAGATAGACACTTGACTATTTTCAGTTTTTACATTTGAGAGCTGTATTCAACTACAGTTTTCTATGTAGTGTTTACGAAATTTATGTAATTTATATTTTACTTTGTATAGAAAACTGTAATTGGATACTAGCTTGCTGGACGTAATTTTTGGAGAATGTAAATAAAATAAAGTAATATTTTTCACGAACTTCATTTCGTTTTTTATTATATTCGCTAATTTTTTATGTCTTTGTTAGGAATGATTTCGATTCCGGTGCCGTTTAGGAAATTATTTACGTCACGTACATTACATTTTCTTCTAGCTATAACTTAAGAACCTTCTTCAGCCGCATTCATAACAAACCGCATATAGCCAACAGCAACAAGATAAGAGAAACAAAACAAAAAAGTTGAAAAATAACTGGCCGCAGTTATGTCGGCCGATAACGCTCCGTTACTCTGTTTAAAATTACTTCCAGCATTTTACTTAGTAATTTTCATTCAAACTATTACGACAAAATACGACTTTTTTACCATTGTTAAAAATCGTAGTTTTTTTAAAACAATGACATCTGTTTTTGATGGATGGAACTAAATGGAATGAGCATGCTCCATCCATACAATTATCAAATATGCATTTGATAATTAGGTGCTTGCACATTTCATATAGTTTCATCAATTAACAACAGATGACGATGTTTTAAATGCAAAACATTTTTAACAAATTCCCACATAAAAAATTACCTACATGATACAATGTTCATTGTCATTGTTTTTAACTTCTTGACTTGCCCACACCACAGCAAAGACGTGTTTGAATTTATTTTTTAAGTCAAATCAAGATTTTTTTATTTTTTTTATCTTTACCGCGGGTAAAGCTCCCGCATAGCATTTTTTATCAACATGCAATTATTTTTTATTAAGGTCCGATTTAAGGATTTATTAATTCAAATTAATATTTTATGAAAAGTTGTATATTGACATACACAGAAAAGAACAGACATTAACAAAAGAACAATGACACTCAAAACAACTCTATGATGTAGTAAAAATCTTCAGCCAGTGTCTTCAACATTTTTTTTTTATTTATGTAGTATTTTTTTCTTTGATATTAATTCAAGTTACACTTTTTGAGCGTGGTGACCGATAAGAAAACAATTTGTTTCTTTTATTGAATAAATGAGAAGTTGATATCGTTTAAAATATTTTTATTATCTTACAATACATGTAGGTTATTCAGGATTTTTTGTCATTGAAACATTCGAAACTAGGTTTATGCTTACTGAAATAAGAAATCGTACAGTCGTACCAACATGTTAAGCGAACGCGCTACATGGTAGGCGGGGGATGTTAGGTTTTATTTTCGTTACGGAATTTCTTAATTATCTCGCTGCGCTCAAAGCCCGCGATAAAAGCTATGTAATAACTTAAAAACTAATGAGTGAATATTATAAAAAAAGGAATAAAATCCCCAAAACTTATTTCTGTATTTTATTTACTTTATGCAAAATAACATCAAGCAAACTTGTATCCAATTACATTTTTCATTTTCGACGGCAACTCGATGCAGCCGTACTTTTGCCCTATGTGAATTTTAAAACAATCAAAATGTCAAAACATGAACTTGATAGCGATGGTTTTCGAATTGTTACTTCAAAACGTTCTGCTAAAAATAAACAAACTAGAGTTCCAAGTAAACGGACGCAATTTGTGAAAGAAGAGAATTATATAGACGTTGAAGCATCGTATCAGTAAGAATTTTTCCTGAGTTTAAATTTTTTTTACGAATTCCTTTAGGTTATTTTTATACCACCTCAATATATTTTCCAGTCGGATTCTATCTGCGGCAGAAAATTTGAAAGGCTCACTTTTTCTAAGTGAAGCTATAAAAGCTGTGAGTACAACAATAAATGAAAGAAGTTTATCCGAAATCGTTTGTTTCGGTTTAGGCCATATTGGAGAGTGCAATATTTCTCGGTATCAGCTTGCATTTTTGCTTTGTTTAAAAGATTCTTACAAACCAGAAAAAGTGTTAGTACACGATCCGATATTTTATTCCGGAGAATGTGAGCTTCTTGCTCGATTAGGTCTGACTGTAATTGAGAAAAACAATGAAGGTGGTTATGTAATATCTGATCAGTACACGACACTTGCATACCTGCCTCATTGCCCTAAACAATTGACAAACAATTTTTTATGGAGTAATTGGGGTGCACAATTGGAAAATTGCATTCTCCTTTGTAATAGCTTTTCATCTTTAGTCGATAATCAGCCAAGTAGAGTACTATCAGAAACAGTGTCTTACATCTATAAAATACAGCCATTATTGGAAGAAATTCCACTAGAGAATAGTTTTCAATATAAGGACATCTTTAATGATACATCAATTCATTACATCACAAAAGAAAAGTTAAAGAAAATAGATTCAAATTTTTGGATTAAAGCAGAGAAGCCCAAATATGAAAATGTTGAAGAGTTTATAACATCACTTATGGTTGATAAACTGAACATTTAAATTGTTTTAAGGAATGAAAATGGCATCAATAACAACAAAACCAGTTCTTGTGACTTTGAGGAGGCTTCTTTCTGAGCTACGCAAGCAGAGTGCTTCTAACAAATTATCTGAAAACCAAATGGCTCAATATGTTTTAAAACAGTACCGAAAGTATCGAACAACAGACCAGCAGTATTGCAAGGCAATTGACGAAATGCATTTTAAGGCCAAGTCTTATTATGATTATCTTCATTATTGTCGAAGGTACAAAGAGATCAATTCAGAATTTAAAGGAAAGGGTGAGAGAAGCGTTGAGGAAACAGCAAGGATGGTTGGATTTAAACTTCCCCATGATCCAAAGTAGAGAGAGATTTTCTAAAATCCTTATTGGTATGGTATATGTAATTAAATTGTTTAGTTATTGAATATTGTTTATTATTTGCAATATGTTTTTAAAATCTGCATTTTTACAATATCTTTTTGTTTGTTATAATTTTCTGAATTCCAAATATGAATATTGCAATAGTGTACCACCGATGAGTGGTACATAATATAATTATTCTAAAGTTTGTATAGAGAAAATTCAAGTGCATTTATCTGTAATCTTATTGTAGCTTTTCTATTCATTTTAGAAAATAAAATTGAGTTTTTTAAGAAATGTAAAACATCTTGAGCAATGTGGTAAATATATTGATGAGTTTCCATATTTTTTGTTTACAGAGTAAAAACTGAAAAGTTATGCCAAAAACAAGTCAATTATTAGATCACTTATGAGTACATAAAATAAGCTGACAGCTACACTGATACACCATGACTAACTTACTAAGACCTTAAATATCATTAAATACCTTAAGTGGAACCTTGTTAGGCCTTTTTGATTTATCTTTACAAATTAACCAATTTAATGATAGTTTAGTGCAATTTGAATTTAAAAATTTAGTTTAGGCCTCACTTTTGTTTCTATGTACTCTTCAAATGAAAATTTTGAGGTATACCCTAGCTGCATTCCATGAATATTTATACATAATCTTATTATTATTGTTTATTCCCAATTAAACAAAGACAAGGTACATTTATAAAAATTAAATGAAAACAAGTATGAAAATTAAAAATTTATTTACAATAAAAATACATTTAATATAAAAGTTTGATTCTCATATAATTGAGACAACACTAACTATAGTGATGCTATCATTTGTTCTTAATTACTGTTTGTATTCCTTTTCGATGAGCTTGGCAATGGTTTGCAGTTGCATATTGCTGGTGCCTTCGTAGATGGTGCCGATTTTAGCGTCCCTGAAGAATTTCTCCTGGGGGAAATCTCTTGTGAAGCCGACTCCTCCCATAAAATCGATGCATTTCGATGTCAGAGTTTGTGCAATTTCTGAACATATAAACAAAAATAGTTAAATTGCCTAATGTGAAAATAAAAAAAGATAATTGTTTAGTGTTTTTGTCACTTAAATAGTTTAGTGCCAAAGTAGAAAATATTAGATAGACCTTAAAATATTTATTTGAAATAATAGTACTCCATAACACTATAAAGATATGCTTAAATTGCTTTGTATATATGTCAGCATTATCAAGGCATAAATTAAGTGATGCATCCAATTTTTAAAGTCCACACTACTTGTTTTTATATAAGGATTATTAAGATTTTCACATTTAGTACATTGCATAGGATTGGAAAATTGTGCATTTGATGGGTTACTTAATATAAGAAATACACCCGAGGCTTACAGATGCGTTGACAACCTTTTGAAAATTGGGCTCCGGCTACCTCACTCACCAGATGAAACGCGAAAGTAGTTATAATACTTCCACTTTACGCTGGTCTTCTGTGGGGTTGTGGTACTTACCCGGACGGGACTGCCCATTCGTGCAACAGCCGAGGCTGCTGCGTGGCCCCACCACCGTAATCATATTATTTAATACACTTCTTTTTAAACATTTCCAATATCGTCTAGTGACTAGACAGATGATGCAATGATTTAGGTAGGTTTAAATTGTTAACTTTTATTGCCAGTTTAAACCCAAAATAATTGTGGAAAACACATTATTTTGTTTTCTCCAGTTATGAGTGTATTTAGAATTTTGTAGCTTATGATTATAGCTTCATTAATATGTCTAATGAACAATGAGTTACACTTTTTCCGTTATGAGTGTATTTTTGGGTCCTGTGCCTTATGATTGTAGCCTCATTGATGTGTTTCTAATAATTTATAAGTTACCCGAAGCGAAATATTTGGCCATGGCTGCTTCCTTCACGAACGACTGTCCGTTCTCCTTCAGTCTTGCCGCGTTGTATGTAAGCAGTCGCGCGGCCTCCAGTTCGGTTTGCAGGTGAGCGATTTGGTAGCTTATGCCCTAGGAATAAAGTGCATAATGCAAAGTTGGATTTCATCAATTTGATGATTCCGTGATGCAGTTGCCAAGGCATCTGCCACGGCCTGGGGGTTCGTGGGTTCGATCCCGTGTGGACAACTATTTGTGTGACCCACAGATAGTAGTTTCGCATCTGGGTGTTTGTCCGCGTGAAATTTATGTTTATAAAACGTCCTTACAACACAGGTTAATGTTGATTTTGTATTTATGTGAATCATTGCAAATTATTCGAGATCGTTATTAGTTAATTACAACACAGAATATTGTAATCGTACAGTATTTATTTATTTATATATTTATTTTACACAAAACACAAGATACAAAAAAAAATAAATAAAATGAAAATAATGTACAAAAGGTAAGCTTAACTCAATGCATGAGTTAATTAATGAAATAAAATGGCAACTAGCAAGTATACTCAATTGCTTTCTAATTTTCAACTGACTTAAAAAAAGGAGGAAGTTCTGGAGGAAGAATTCAAAAAAATTGCTTTGGATTCCATTCAGTTTCCTCGTGATCAAATCCATTTGGACCTTGGACGTTTTTTGAAGTCTGGTTTTCTTTTGTTGAAAACTTTCCTATTTAAAGTGTTAATGGGATGGCATGAACCTCTCTGAAAACTAATTCAAGTAATGAACATTAACGTCTTAAGATGATGATGGAAGTAAATGATATCATAAAGGACTTTGTAGCCTTATTGAGTAGAAAGTGAGTAGAGACCGACCTGGAACGAGTAAATGCTCTTCCCGAACTGTTTCCTGTCGAGGGTGTATGGAATCGTGGCGTCCATACATCCCTGGCAAAGACCCACCATCTGAGCGGCAATCCCGATTCGACCCTCGTTTAGGAAGCCGGCAGCGTATTTGTACCTGAGACCGTCAAAGATTTTAGGTACTAGTAGATGAGAATAGAACAAAAAATCTCTGCCAGAATAAAGAACAGAGCTACGCGGTGTATTAGGTCGCAGTTAGTTTTAAAGGACTCCGTGGCGCAGTTGCCAAGGTATTGGCTGGCTTCGGGAGTTGTGGGTTCGATTCCCACACGGGACAACTATTTCTGTGACCCTCAGATGGTTGTTTCGCATCTGGGTGTCTGTCGAAGTGAAATTTATGTTTGTAAAACGTCCTTACAACACAGGATAATGTTTTCCTAAAGTAAGGGCTATGTCTTTACATGGAAAAAAAAGGACGTTAACCAATTTTGTATCCGGTCATGTCCCAACCAGGTTCATAAACTAGGTATCTCAAGAGATTAAGATTTGGATCTAAGACCTATTTATTTTACCACAAACTTTAAGTTTCCGATTTTTGTACGAATAAAATGAACATAATGTCTTTCCAATTATAAATGAAACTAATTTTACGGATTTATCGCGTTTATTTTTAATTTTAATTCCCGACGTTTCGAACCCTTTACAGCGTTCATGGTCACGGGACAGACTGAGGTGTTAGACGTCTGATTGTCATAGTTAACCCGGGCTACCGTCAGTTTTTTGAGTAGCCGTCAGTAGCCCGGGTTAACTATGACAATCAGACGTCTAACACCTCAGTCTGTCCCGTGACCATGAACGCTGTAAAGGGTTCGAAACGTCGGGAATTAAAATTAAAAATAAACGCGATAAATCCGTAAAATTAGTTTCATTTATAATGTGTAATCGCGTAAATACAAGAAATTATAATGTCTTTCCTCCAAAAACCTCATATCCCTTCAATGAATTGCTTCAACTAATCCTAATGTAAGTAAAATCAAGTTAAAATCAATAAGGACAACTTTAAGACATGAATTTTAATAGTCTGTTTTCCGCACAAATGGCGATCGTCGTGGACTAGCTGCTGCCCGCGACTACGTTTGCGTAGAGTAGGCCGAAGGTAACATTCATACAGAAAGACAGATATACATAAAACTATGCATATAAATTATTGCCTATAAGTATAAGCTGTATTATTGTAAAGTTCCATTAAAATCCATGGTATTTGCGTGAAAGAGTAACAAACATCCATCCGTTGATACAAACTTTCGCGTTTATAATATTAGTAAGGATGTCTAAAGGTACCTTATCCCTTCGCAACAGGGTCCACTCACCCGTGGCCGTATTCGCCCAGGATGTTCTCCTCGGGCACCTTGACGTTGTCGAAGTGCACCATGCAGGTGCCGGACGCGCGGATGCCCAGCTTGTTCTCGGGCTTCGCCACGCTCAGCCCCGGCGTGTCCCGCTCCACTATGAAGCACGTGATCCCTTTGTAGCCCTGGTGGCGTCAAACCAAAAATATATTTATTCAAATGGACGCTTGCGCGCTCTTATGATACGTCAAATTTTACATCGAAAACTATCTATATAGGTTCGTGAGTTACCACCGGTTCGGAAAGCAGTTTCCGTTGAGAAAAGACCGGCAAGAAACTCAACAGTTGCTCTTTTTCAAAAGTATCAGTTTACAATATAACATACAGGTATAATGGTCTTATTCTAGCCTACGTGAGTATCAACAGTATTAACTCCACACATTGGCGTCGTCGAGATATTCCATAATGGTATAATAAATACGCTTTAACCATAAGTTAACTTTAAAGTTAATTTTACGTTTAAATTGATCTTCGGCGAATTTAATATGTTTATTGTACGAAACGATTAAATAACGATAATGATATATTCAGAAAACTATAATATGGCTATTACACGAAACTAAATAACGCACGTAACGTATTGAAAAAAAGAAAAGAGAGTAGAAAATCACGACAGTTTTATCTACGCATTTTTAAATGCTGAGACTAAAACTAAAAATTGAGTGTCCAAGAAGTTCAAACAACTGGAATCTGAAGTTATGAACGCCTGTTTGGTACTCCTACGCCTATTTTCTGAGACACTGATCGTCGTAGATGTCAACTAATCAGCTGTCAGTACAAGTTTCATTTAAGTTGCTAAAAGGATGGTTAAACTCTCTGAATTGACCAGAGTGATCTTCTTTATGATCAGAATGATCAATTCAAAGAGTTTAACCATCCTTTTGGCAACTAAAATGAAATTGGAAATTCATTTGACAGCTGATTAGTTGACATCTACAATGATTAGTGTTTCAGAAACCGGGCGTGATCATCGTAGGTGTCAACTAATCAGTTGTCAAATGGATTTCAAATTTCATTTTAGGTTTCAAAAGGATGGTTAACTCACTGAATTGCCCAGAATGATCTTCTTTATGATCAGAATGATCAATTGAAAGAGTTTGACCATCCGTTTGGCAACTAAAATGTAATTTGAATTGACAGCTGATTAGTTGACATTAACGTTGATCAGTGTTTCATAAACCGGGCGCTAGTATTTTTGTCAATGACATACCTTGCTGGGGTCGGCGTTCGCCATGACGAGGAACACCCCCGCGACGTCGGAGTTCGAGATCCACATCTTGGAGCCGTTGATGATGTAGCTATTGCCGTCCTTCTTCGCGACGGTCTTCAGCGCGAAGGCGTCGGAGCCAGAAGTGGGCTCAGTGAGGCAGAAGCTCCCGGCCTGAGAGACGGTCACCGGGAAGGTTTTTTCATTTGAATAGTTGGCAAGCGGGCAGGCGATATAGTTTTTTTTATGTGAAAAGTTGACAAGCCATCAGGCGGTTCGCCCGATGTTAAGTGAATACCACCGCCCATGGACCTCTACTACACATCTGTAACCCTCGGGGTTACAGATGTGTTGACAACCTTTTGAAAATTGGGCTCCGGCTACCTCACGCACCAGACGAAACGCAAAAGTATTTGTCATATTTCCACTTTACGCCGGTCTTCCGTGAGGTCGCGGTACTTAACGTGCCTGCCCATTCGTGCAACAGCTCAGGCTGCTGCGTGCCTCTACCACAGTAAAAAAAAATGACAAGCTTTATTGGTAATCGAATAATCATAGACGGATTACAAAGCAGCCCACGCTTTTTTTACAATTACATTAATTTTCTCGTTAATCACTTCATTCTTATATTGTGATTTATTTTTGACTTTTTAGTGCGGTTTACTATTAAAGCGTGTTTTTGTTTTATTTTTAAACTATAATTTATTTTTAACTTCTTTCGTTCCGTTCGTCAGGCTCCTAAAGGAGAACTCGTTAATTCCGATGTTCCTATACAGGATAATGGGACAAACTTATTAAGCGATTGTATCGCTAATTTTATAAAAAAAGGACTTCGTTCCTTTTTTTGTCAGAAAATCGTTTAAAAAATGTACTACGCGTCTCCTTGATAACACTGATAAAATGTATTCTTATAAGTGTACAATTGCTAGCGTTAAAGACATATATGTATGTCAGGCAATGTGGTGCTTTATATTTATAATTGGCATCAAAAAATTTATAACTGGGATCGAACTCAGGTTACTCGCGTATATTGAATTAAAAGCGACCGCCCGGAAAATGAGACATCACGGCTATTTATTAACATTAATAATTGATGGATGCGAAAGTAATTTTTCTTGTATTATGTTTTTATTGTTCCCGAAATTGGTTGACAGCGTTTGGTAATAATAACATTATGGTTGTGTGTTATCACAAAGATGCTCAGTGTTTAGAGTAATATCATTGTAATTCGTTGTCGAGCGTACCCAGTAGCACAAATTAGTATTCACTGAGTGACTTCGTGATGTGTTAGACTTAATGATGTGTTAGAGATCGCACAAAACCAAGACAAAGAATATTTTAAGCGAAGGCGAGAAGGCTCACGCTCAGTGATTTCGGCCCATGGACTTGGACGCCTATAACTATGGAGAACAGGTTCGTTGCCGGTTTCCGTATAAATTTATATAAACGTAGCTAAAAATATTTATACTAGTATTTTGCCCGCGCTTCGCTCGCGAAGCCCTTAAATAAATATCTTTCTTTAAAAAAATAGCCTGTCCTTTCTCAGGCTCTAGACTATCTGTGTTCCAAATATCATTTAAATCGGTTCAGTAGTATTGGCGTGAAAGCGAGACAGACAGACGGAGTTACTTTCGCATTTATAATATTAGTATGGATAAATAGTGTTGGTTCATAATCACTTACGACATTGTTTTCTTTTATATAGGCTTCTAAGAATCTTTCCGGTTACTAAAAAACAGATGGGGTTTTTTATATAGCCTTTGTTTAGAGATAAGAATATTTACTGTTTCTTCTCAATACACCTACTTGAAAATGTTATGTATGTCCATAGAAAGAAGAATGAATTCTCAAGACAAACAAGACAAGAACAAACTTAAATTATTTCTACTTTTATTTTGTAATCTTTAGTGATCAAGGTAAGTATATTACACTTATACTTTTTTACAACAAAATCCAAGAAAACGTTAAACATGTGACAGTTGCTAAATTCAATAAAGTTGTTAAGGTAACGTTTGTGTGTTAAAGGTCATTATAATATGAGTGATTATTTAAATGATATCATTCTGTAAATGTATTGATTGCTCGAGGCTTTTTCAAGTGGACTTATTGCAAACATATTTCATTGTCAAATAATATTAAAAAAAGCTCCCGATGAGTTTCTCTCGCTGGTTCTTCTCAGGTCAGTGGCTTTTCTTTTCCGAACCGTTTTTCTAATAACGCTATATCTCCCTTTTAAATTGACGATTGAGATACTTATTAGTATGTATTACATACACCTGGTATTATTTATTATATTTGTACTATAATTAACGTGCGCATATAAATTTATTTACAACATTTTATCTTTTAACAGCGTTTTCTTTTTATTTATTTTTTTTGACATCTTTCTGTGCACCTACCGAATCTTCTCTGTACCACCCCAAGGTTGACTGGCAGATAATGCCTGTGGCATTAAGTCCGCCTCTGTACAGTTTGTGCATAAAGTATAAATAAATAAATAAATACTTTAAGCCTAATATTTCGCTCTACTGACGCAAAACAACGAAATCGTTTCAACGAGTTCATTTAAAAAAATCATGTTTACCTACACAGAGAATGTAGAAGGCGCCAATAAATAACAACTTGTAATATTAGCTTTATGACTATGTTATATTTATATATTTTTGATTATTATTACAATTCGATGAATATTACGATACTTCACGAAAGGTAGTAACTTCAAGCACTGGTAAACTTGTTTTAGCCGAAATGCTGTGATATTGACGAACCGAATGGCGTAGTGGGTAGTGTACCTGCCTCTTGCGCCAGAGGGTGTGGGTGCGATCACTACTGGAAAAATATTGTGTGATGAACATAGTGTTTTTCTAGTGTCTGGGTGTTTATATATGTATAATATGTATTTATTTACAAAAGAAAAGTATGTTTATCAGTTATCTAGTACCCATAGTACAAGCGTTGCTTAGTTTGGGCCTAGAGATCGTTGTGTAAAAATGTGTCCTAAAATATTTATTATTATTATATTGATGGATCCTTTGGCACGTTGCTGTAGGCTTCGGAGCCGCAAGACCACGGGTTGATTCCCATGCGAAGTATTTCTTTGAGCCACATTCAGTTGCAGGTCTGAGTAGGAAAATTATTATATTACAACAAATGTATCGGTTAAAACGAGGAGACTCTTTAATACAATGACAAATATATATATATGACTAACTGCTGTCCGTGACTACGTCTGCGTAGAATAGGCTGAAGGTGTAACATTAAGACAGAAAGACGGATATACTTAAAAATATGTGTATAAATTATAGCCTATGTCTTATTCTGATGTATAAACTATATTATTTTAAAGTTTCATTAAAATCCATTCATTAGTATTTGCGTGAAAGAGTAACAAACATCCATCCATACATACAAACTTTCGCCTTTATAATATTAGTAAGGATTGAATTATTTACCCATCTTAGTATCATTGACAAATTATTATCATCTTTGCATTGACAAATGACATTCAAGATAATGGAAAGTGAACATTTATTCATACTATAGAGCTGTTTAAGATAACGCCGCGCCGACAGCGAAAACAGTTTAGAAATAATTTAATGAGAGTAACCAAATATCAAATAAATCTATGATTATTATATGATGACAGATCTCTCTTTCATACTTTACAGGGTGGACAGAGACCGACAACACTCAAGATGGAACTTTTAGATGAAATCTTTGGTCAGATTGATGTAATGAGTGATAGTAATTATGGTAGAGGAGTATTAAGAATTGTGGTAGAGAAGATTAAGAGGTATAGAAGAAGTCCTCAATGAAAAGAAGAGACAGAATGTATTTTAGAGGTCTAGTCGAGGCAGTCAACACCTATTACTGAGACTCCACTGACAAGTTATACACCGTTCTTTAGATTTCCTACCTTCAAAAGGTGTTCAAGGCATCTACAACCCCAATTCCTAATACCGTCTGTGTACCAAGTAGTCCAAATTCAAGCCAAGACCATAATCGTAACTGAAAATTTGATGAAAACGTTTTCTTGTACTCTTATAAGTTCTTTCGCTATCTGATACCTATAATCTATATCTGAGACCATAAACTTTTATATGTACATACATACAAAATGCATAGCTCGGTGCAATAATAAACGTAGGGAATAAACTGTTTCAATTTTTTTTTACCGGTCGAAGGCTCATTAATAGGATAATAAATAAAAAATCGGTGTACGAAACGAGGGTGAAAGGTATAAAACCTCTTTGACTTCATCAATTTACACTCGAGCAATCTGAGTGCGATCCCCGGTGCGGGCAGCATTGAATAATGATTTATCACGGGCTCAGCGGTAAAGGAAAACATCGTGAAACCGCATATTTTCGAAATGATAATAAAAAAGGGCCACTCGGGGGACTATGCCCTGATACCCTCTGTATAGAGGATGCCTTTGCTCAGCAATGGGACATATACTTTACTTTTTACTTTACTTTGAGATGAAGTTTAAAGTGTTTATAGTCGTGCGTTTCGTTTGGCAGGTAGCTTAATTGGCATTTTGGCAACGCTATTGAAACGGTAAATCAGGTGTTCCCTTCTCGTCTGGACACAGCATCAACGTAAGTTGCTTAATTGGATCCTCATACCGCTTATTCGATAAGTCCGAAATCAGGGTTCCAATTGTAAGTACCCGCAAACCGGATTTGTTCGGGTCGTTTGACCGTACATTCCACTTTGAGTCGATGCCCCATTGTGTCTTTGTGTGAGTAACGCATATTGAATTTAAGCTAAGTAAAACCGCGATCCAAAAGTTGGTGCTTACACCAAAACATTTTGGGAATGCTTTATTTTGTGAAGCGAAAAAACTATCCTTAAGGTGAACGTACTTTTGAGGTATTTTTGTTATTGTTAAAGCACGCCTGTAAAATCTCCATATTTTTTATGACTGGATGGAAAGTGTTTACGAGTATTTATTCATTTTAGCTTAGTAATCTTAAAATTAAACAGAACTACTACCACACGCTGGAATAGTTTATAATTCTGCTCGTTTATTAAGAATCAATTAAAATAAGTGGATAGTTCACTATCAAAACTTGGTATCTTTGCGAAGGTCACCATCAAAAGTCAGACAAATAACTTATTTTATTATAGTGACAAACTTATCACAATAATAAAATGCTGCCATTACCAAAAGACTACTATTATATTACTCATATATCCATGTTATTTTTTATGTGTACATGTCAAGCGAGCAGGCGGTTCACCTGATGTTAAATTAATACCGCCGCCATGGACCTCTTGCAACATTCGATGGCTCGCTGATGAGTTGGCAACGTTTGACAAGTTCAAAAATGTGGGCCCCTGTTACCTCACTCGCCAGGTGAAACGTGAAAGTTTAATACTTACACTTCACGCCGGTCTTCTGTGAGGTCGTGGTACTCGCTCGGGCGAGTCAGCCCATTCGTGCAATGACAGAACCTTTTGCGTGGCATAACCACAGTTAACAGATTAATTCAAACTAATTACTACGGCTAATGGTTACGTTACTTACGTATTCCGTGCAAAGTTTCGTCAGGTACTTCTTCTTCTGCTCCTCCGTGCCGAGCTTCATGAAGAGGGAGTTGACCAGGGTATTGTGGATGTCCACGTAGGCCGCGACCGCCGGGTCCACCCTGGACAGCTCTTCCACCACCAGCATCATCGTCAAAAACCCACAACCCGAGCCACTGTACTCCGCCGGCGTCTCGATCCCCATTAACTACGAAACACAAAGAAACAAAATGCTGTATAATACGCGAAGCAAAAACTTTGAAGTTCAATAGTTGTCTAAGTATTTTTATGTCTTTCTGTGTGTGTTGTTTCCCTTTACGTAGCACTTGGTAAATCAGGATATCCCCAGGTTCTTTGAGTTTTGATCATGTATCGTCGAGTGCCTCAATCGAGTTATCGGTATTTCATTAGGGTATTTGCGTCCACACTTTTAAAATTACTTACCCCATTGTCGAAGAGCATCTGCCTGATGCCCTCGTCGATTTTGTGCTCGTCTTCCATCTTCTTGACCAGGGGTGCGATCTGTTCAGTGGCCAGTTTTCTGACTGGAATAGGCCAGAACAGATATGAGAACAAAGCTATTTAAAAACTGGGGTAACTTGTAAACGTATTCTTTTGTATATAAATACACAAAATAGATACTCAACCACCTAGACAATATGTTTGCATTGGGAATCGAACCCACAGCCTCCGGCGTAAGACAGATTCGTTATCCACTACGCCAATCGGGTAGTGGATAACGAATCCTTAATAACTTTAGCAAAAGCCTCACGAGAGGTTAAGTGTCTCACTCGTTAAGTGGAAACGCATTTTTTAAATTTGCGATGCTCAGCGTTTTAAAGCTTGGCACCACATTTTTTGTGTTGCTGGTGGTCTGGGACAACGGCGATAATTTAATACTACAAAGTAAATAAGTTGGCTATCTGTTCGGTATAAACGCGTTCTATCGATCGTTTGATCACCCAAGAAGCCAATAATAACGGCCAAAGATAAATAAACAAGATGTAAAATCGGGCCATACTATAAAATAAAAGTATATTATATAAAAAACAAGAAATGATTAATTTGGTTGTTATATTTAACATCGCCCTTGAGATTAAATAAATGTCAAGTGTGTTCTTCCCCTATCTCTATTTTATAAACCGCACGTATCAGTTGATGATATCGTTTCAATAAAGGCGGGATACCTCACACGGAATGCTTTATCGTCTGTTGCAGACTCTCTTTCTTTACATTTAGACTGGGCGTGACCATTTAATATCTTTTTTGAAGGGCTTCAACAGGATTCTACAAAATTGACAGCGATTTTTATTTATAATAAAATTAAAAGGGGTCGGCGGTTCAGGTGACATTAGGACCGCCGCCCATAGACATTTGCCGAATGTCATTTGAGTTGCCAAACGGATGGTTAAACTCTTTGAATTGATCATTCTGATCATAAAGAAGATCATTCTGAGATTGAGATTTGACAAGCCATTTGACAGCTGATTAGTTAATTTCTACGATTGTCAGTGTTTCAGAAAATGGGCGTTAGAGTTGCAGATGCGTTGAGGTAGCCGGAGCAAACTTTTAATAAAGTGGACTCCGGCTAACTCACTCACCAGACGATTGTAAACAGGCACTACCTACCTAACTGTGGTAGGGCCACGCACAAGCTTCGGCTGTTGCACGAATGGGCAGGTCCGTCCGGGTAAGTACCACGGCCACACAAAAGACCGTCGTGAAGTGGAAGTGTTATACTTCTGCGTTTCGTCTGGTGAGTGAGGTAGTCGGGGCCCACTTTATTTAAAGGTGGCAACGCATTTCAAACCCTACGGGTGTTGCAAATGTCTATGGCCGGTGGTTATCACAGGTGAACCGCCAGCTCGTCTGCCACTTTTTCACATTAAAAAAAATCTACCAAAAAACGAATAATATACAGGTTCGAATGACGCAGAGCCGAAAGTTATTTTTCATTTATCTAGGAAAATTTATTATTTAAAATACAGTTAACATTAAAATAACAATATTTTTTTACTACTTTCGCCTTATCACGTCGTATACTGCTAATCAGAAATAAGTTCATTAAAAACCACTCTATTTTAATATTTTTACTGTTCGCTGTTTATTCAACATAAAGTTCAATTGTCACATTAATTTAAAATTATTTTTTTCAAAATACTACTAATATACCTACTGTGGGTACCTAAGTCTTTGTTGTTTGCTCAATAGAATGTTCGCTTAATGCTTTATAAAGATAAAATGTTTTCAAAATATTCTGTAATTATACCTACTGCCCGTATCCTCACTATCTATATCGTAACTAAGTTACCGTTGCCCAATGAATTATTAAACGAACAAATGAATGATAAAGAGATTTACTTGTCTCCTTCATGGCCAACTCGTCATCTGTCAACATGGTCAATGGGCGGGGTGACGCCTCCGTGCTGTAGCTCTTTCGAGGCTTCACGGCAGTTACGACTGGCGACCGCCATTGCTCCAAAATCTGTGGATTAAAAAAAAACATGTTGACTATGAAAAATATTCAGTTTAAATTAAAAAAATAAGTCAAAGACACCATCGATGATGCAGCCTTTTGTAGTCCACTCGTTATATTTAAAAATGATTATGTCAATGACAATAGAAATTTAAATTGTTTATAGTACTAATCTTTGCACTTAAGATTGAACATTAAAATATGTAGAAAAAGTGCGAAAAGATTGTCGCCGCTGTGGGAATTGAACCAACGTCTTCGGCATTCGCGGCCTGACGTGAGGAGATTAGGACTATAAACAATTTTAATTTCTAAAAAAGCAATGGCGACATCTCTCGTTCGAATTATCGTTGTAAAAGGATATTCGAAATTGTTTGTATGCTGGAAAGGATATAACAATAGATGTGCCAAGCATTTCTTCAAAATGCTATGAAAACAACGTAGAAAATGTCTTTTGTATTCCGCTCGTTATATTTAAAAATGATTATGTCAACGACAACAGTTAATAGACTTTTCTCTCTTTTCTCTACACGGTGGTAGAAACAGTTTCATTTCAATGTAATTTTATGTGTGAAAGTTAACTTTAAATAAAATTATCTTATCTTTGAAACGAGTTTTGAAGGGGTGGATTAAGAATTACTTGGATTAAAATTAGGAATTACTTGTTTTCAAAAGTTGTTTTCGAACGAACGAAAATGACTCTTTTATTTCTGTTTACTTTCAGGGATCTATGGTATGCATTAGTAATGACATTAAAAAAAAATCAAATAAACTTCGTTTTATTACCAAGTAAGCAGTACTGAAGCTGAATAACTTTAGGTAATATTAGAAATAAGGTAATAGTCAACTTTAATAATTATGCGTTAGAATAAATTACGTGAAATTATATCTTGTTTAGAAACCTTGATAAAAATCTTTTAATTATTGTAGTATACAGTACTCATTAAGCTTAAAAACAAAAAAATTATGATATTATAAGCATGCGATGACTTGTATATTATACATATTTAATGAAAGAACACACAGGTAATTGTAGACAAGTTTTTATCATAATTGAAACAAAGATCATAACATTGTTAGCAAATTCAATTGTTTTGTTGATTTCTGCATTCACTTGTCTTAAAAGGTATTATAGTGTAAAATATACAAAAGTTTATTTTTTAAGCAACAATCCAATACAATTATAGCTTCGACCTTCCAACTGTATCAATTATTCGGCCTTTAAAGCAGATAAAAGAGTAAATATGTTACAACTCGCCACCTAATCTTGTTTTAATTATAATTATTCCGTTTAATTCTCGCACTGTTATATTTTTAATTCACTCTAAATCAACCCTTACAGTTACACTGAATACAAAATTAATAAATATAAATTTGCACACACCTTGTTACCAACGCGGCGGATCGGGAACATGTTTTTTTTTTCTTTTTGCAAAGGCGCGCAAGGCAAATGTCGCGTCTGCGCAGCCCGCACCCGAACCGAATACAGACTGCCGTGACGTAAGCCGTTAGTCCGGAGGCCTGTTTTTAATGGCGTCTCGCTCTCGCCACGATAACGAGTTTCAAATTGCTAACACTACTGTGTAATGTAATAAATATTGTGTATTGCACATGTTCTATTTATCATTATTTCGATACGGCTAGGTCAACGATTCAGCGCGGGTGTGTGTACAGCTTTATTTAATGCATAAAAGTTAAGATAAACATAAGTTATACATTTTAAATGCTGTATGATAAAGTTCATTCAATGTGTTTGACCTCTTCAGTTTCTTAGACCGTAAAGATCCTACGGTTTTTAGATACAAATATTGTGTCAGATCTTTTTTACCTTTTTTGTTAAAAAAGCTAATCTTTGTAAAATTGTCATCATTAGTAGTCAAGATATCATTAAGAAAAGGCAACTAAGGTGAGCTACCTATACTACAATGTTGAAAAAATTGCGGCGTGATAAAACACCTTACAAAACAAGGAAAGACTCAAAAAGTTATTCACGATGAAATGGTTGATGTTTACCAAGATTCTGAAATGAATTCAAACGGGTAAGAGAATATTGAAGACGATCACTACTGCAGTAAACGTCAAATTCATTGAGAAATTACGCTCAAAGATAAGCGAAAGTAAGAGTGAAAACAGCAGAAAGGACTAAGCTATCTGTGGGTACTATTCACACTATCCTTCATGAGCAACTAAGGTCAGGTCGAGGCAGGCAAGGGCATAGAGTTTTTGGAACTCTGTGGTGAAAATCCAAGGGTATTTACGACCGAATCGTTACCGGTGATAAAACGCGGGTTTATTGCTATCATCCTGAGAGCAAGCAAGATGCGTTGCCAACTTTTAATAAAGTGGGCCCCGGCTACCTCACTGACCAGACGAAACGCAGGTCTTCTGTGAGGTCGTGGTACTTACCCGGACGGTCCTGTCGATTCGCGTAACAGAGAAGACTGTTGCGTGGCTCTACTAAGTCAAAGTATCACTGCCGCTTCTTACGCATACACCTGACGTAATTTAAATGAGACAATAAAAGAAAAGAGACGTGGAAAATTAATATTTCAGCAGGTTTCTTCCCGACAACTCGGCGGTTCACAAAGGACTCTTTGCCGAGGCTGCTGTGCAGGATTGCGGATTTGAAGAAATCAATCATCCACTCTACAGCCGCGACCTAGCCCCTGGTGATTACTTCCTGCTCCCCAATCTCAAGAAAGACCTTCGAGGTAAACATTTTTCCAACGATGAAGAGTTGAAGCCGGCAATTGATTAACATTTTTCAGATAAGGAAGAAAAATATTCTTAAGAGAGTATTGAAAAGTTACTTGAAAATTGAAATTGACATTGAAAAACAAATTTAACTCAGAATTTTCTGCTTATTCTTTCATACCTATATCGAGATATATTGAACGAGTAAGACTGCACTGATTTTACTGTAAACTCTTTGAGTAACTGTGGGGACGCTTTCCTTTTAAATGCGAACTATCCTGATTTCGAGAGAATACTCGTATATACTGGATGTATATCCATAGAATATATACTGGACGAAGTAATAGATTTTGCATATATTAGAAATATCGCTGCTATATTTGCTTATTAAAACAATATCTTTTTAAGCTTATCAAATTTATAATTCCATAATTATGTAACGAAAAGTTGTAATTGAAATTGTTGAATAGCCAAATATTTTCTAACTACCTGCTGCCCGCGACCACGTCTGCGTAGAATAGGCTGAAGGCGTAACATTCAGACAGAAAGACAGATATACAGAAAAATCTGTATATAAATTATAGCTTATGCATCCAAACTTTCGCCTTTGTAATGTTAGTAAGGAAGGCCTTTGAAGTCAAGAAAGTTTGAAGTTCAGTAAAAGCAATTATATTTTATACAAATACGGGGTATATATGACATTAGCGTATCGAAACTGAGGCACTCAAAATACCCCAATTGGTGTAATTAGATTGCAATTCTATAGACTGCTGTCTCTTTCCGTATCATACGTTCTATATCATCTGTCACATTCTCACAATCACTTTACATATTATGTCATATAATGTAAAGCGGAACAATTTTTAAACACCGTGCAGTATGGAAATTCATCATATATATACAGCGTGTCGTTACCATTGCGACAATAAATGAACACACGTCTAACGCTACTTGCCAATAATCATGAAAAAATATTAACGTTAAACATAATCCATAATTAAAAAAAAAATATTTTTCGAACAAACTAATTAAGTAAAAAAGAAACAAAATTTGTAACATCCTATACAACTCGCGCCACAGCGTCGCATTACAAGCCTTCCTTCTAACAGTATGTTTTGTCTCTTTTAAATTCATTCAATCCATTCATATGCTTTGTGACTTTTACAAATGGACTTTACGTTACAGTGTTATACGTAAGGCTGTTCTAAAATTGTTTGTTTTGGAAAATTTAATAACTCTGTAAATATTGATGTTTAAAGAATGTAAATGTTTAATGTGTTGTTTTAAAATACAATTTTAAAAAGTTATCCCCTATATGTATGTTCATTTATTGTCGCGATTGTAAAGACACGCTGTATATTTTTACAGTACGTGCAACATATCACATTGTTCTACCTTACACGTACTATAAAAATATGTTTTGAGTTTTAGGTCGAGTTTTGTTAATATTTCTTAATAATCTTCGAGGTCATTCACATTGTAAATACGAGGTATTATGAAATGACGAAGTTAACTGTAGAAATTGCAGGATAACGTTAACTACGAGTACTACCGGTAATCTGATATCTAGTACAAAGCATAGACAGCTACCAAACAGAGTTCATTATAAATGAATAGTGGACATCCTAGCAAATTTCAGCTGTAAACGGGTTTATTATTACCATCTAAATACAGATTACAAATAATGTGTCATGAGATAGCGACTATCGGATGAAAGTGTGTCAATGATTAGCGATGTTCCGAAAAAAGTAATTTGACAACGATAACAAGTCGCGTAAATCTATTTGTGTTTAAAAGAGACGTGTCACGTCGATTCAATGTGGTGTTTGTTCTATTCTCATCGTATATTCATCGAAATTTTTAATCGATTATTTAATAAAACTAATCCCTATCACCTATTCTGCGTAGAATAAATCTATAGAGATAGAAGCTTTCATTCGCAGCTTTGGCTATGGTATTTATTGAAATTAACGAAAATAACAAATTCGTAAAAAGTCGGTGTAACTGTAATCTTCACGAGATCGACGAATCTTTTAATTTGTTATTATTTCAGACAAGCGCACTACACTCCGAATGACCCATGCTCTGAGGTGTTAAAATTTATTCTAAAATTTTACTCTCATTTATTTTCTATTTCTACCCGCGCGAAACCGGCGCGACAACCCTAGTGTTGTAAACTTCAAATTGCGTACCTAAGAAGTGGTATAGTAATATTGAGTCAGTAAAATGTATCAATCGGACAATAGCAAAAGGCGACAAGAATTTGGCAGCAGAGGTGGCGATCTTTGTGACTAACTTTTGTTTTTGCACGAATTACTGGATTTTAATTAATTACTTTGACGCACGCTGCACAATGTTATTTATCTACAAAGAATTTATTTATCTCGGGAACACAGTTTATCTTTCCATGATTATCATTGTTACTGCGGTTGGGCCACGCGGCAGATTTTGCTGTTGCAACAACGTGCAGGCTCGTTCGGGAAAATTCGACGGTCTCACAGAAGACCGGTGTAAAGTGGAAGTATTAAAAGTACTTCGCGTTTCGTCTATGTAGTGAGGTAATAGAGGCCCACCTTTTCAAGGATCCACGCAGCTGCAATTCTCTCAATGTTGGGCGAGATGTCCATGGACGGCGGTGGTCACTTAACATCGGGTGAAACGCCTGTTTGTTTGCCAACTTATCACCTAAAAAAGTGGCCTCTTTTAATGGCCTCTTCTCCCTGTACGAAATGCATGATATACTTCGGCTTTATGGTCATCTTCCGTGAAGCTGTGGATAACAGCTCAACATCGGATGGACCGCATACTCGCTTGATAAACTTGCACAGAAAGGAAAATAAAAAACTTTGAACACAATGACAAAGTGTGATCGAATCCAACTGGCCTCGATCATAAGTGCTGAGTAAAATATTTTTTCGAAAGCGAATAACAAATAGAATTTTGGAGAGCGTTCGTGTGGAGCGGAGCGTTGAGAATGAATTTGAATTGAACACCAAAATAGGATAGAACTATTAAATCTTTTATTGTAAAATATTAAATGTTCCTTAGCCTTTAACTTAATATTCGTAGTGAAATCATTGAGTGTGTTACTCGTACATATCCGTTCCCGTACAAAAGTGGAACTAAGCACGAGCTTATTCTTAACTTAACATTGCGAGACTCCCAGTTTCTGCTGAAACCACGTAAAGAGATTGAATATCCAGACCGATTCATGGAAGCGTTGTCAGGCGACACCGCTATTTTCCACGACGGACAATATAGCTGACGTCCATGGAAACGATGCCAGTCGACACGCTGCTTACCGTATTGGAGAACTATTGTTAACACTTATTTTTAGTAAAGGATTCATTCCGTATCCAGCATCGATGAGGATTAGACCTTGGTTGGTAATAGTTTAAATTGTATGTTTTATAATAAATAATCCTTTATTGTAACGGAATTGTAATTGTGATACGACCTCGGTAATTGTTTGAATAAATTGTCTTTGTTTTAAATACTTTTAAATACTGTGTTTTGGATTTGTATTTAATTTTACAATAAATATATATAAATATAAAAAAATTAGGCTTAACGCCGCGGCTGGTGACAAGAGAGCTGGTTCTTTTCTCGCTCAAATGTTAAGCATAAGTATTCAGCGAGGAAATGCAGCTAGCGTTCTTGGCACCATGCCGCGTGGATTAGGTTTATTACATAATATGTAATTTTATATAGATTTAATCG